CAGATCTTCCAGTGCCTCCTCTCTATTCATAACTGGAGTCTCTGCTCAGGGGCCTGAGCTCCTGTTAAGACCTGGCACGTAGATTTCTGCTTTTCAGCAGATGGTGTGACTGAGCACACACATGTGCACATGTGCATGTGTGTGAGAGGTAGTATTAATCTCCTTCACTTTCAGGTACAATGTGTTAAAATCCCCCTTGCTCAAGACCCTCTCTTAAACCCCAGCACCCCCATGCTACTCTGGGCTCTGTGTTTAGTGAATGGCACAGGAGCACTGAGGCATGACAAGCTTAGCAAGACCATTTGGACCCCTATTGAGTTACTATGCAGTGTTTTACCTGGATTTGTACCTTCTGCTTCTATTGGCCTTCCGGCTGCGCGAGGAGTCAGATTACATACAGCAAGAGAGACCCAGAGGATTAGTACAGAGATGCTGCAGAAGCTAGTCGATAATCACCTTGGCATCTTGTCTCAAATCACCTCAGGCTTCTCTCTCTGACCTTGGAAAGAGGAAAGGCCACCCTTTCCCTGTCCAGCCAGCTCCTCACATTCTCTCTTCTGGTCTCTTGTTCTTTTTTTGTTTGTTTGTTTTTGTTACCGGGGATCGAACTCAGGTCCTTGCGTTTGGGCAGCAGGTGGCAAAACCACTGAGCTAAATTCCCAGCCCTCTTGTTCTTTTTTTCATTAAGGTAATTTATATGTGATAAAATTCACTCTAGTTCTGCAGCTTGAACAAATGCATGTAGGTAGGTAACCACCAACACACTCAAGGTCCCATCACCCCAGAAGATTCCTTTTGCTGCCACTTTGTAGCCATTCCTCTCCCCACAAAACAACTGATCCCACAGTTTTGCTCTTCCCAGAGTGCCATATAAATGGAATCAAATGGTTGTAGTCTTTTGAATCTAGCTTCTTTCATGCAAGCATAATGTATTTGAGATGATCCATGCTGTTGTGTGTGTCAGTAGCTGAGTAATTGTCCATAAACATTCAGGCACAGATTTTTGCATCAATGTAATTTTTTATTTCACTTGAATAAACACCTAAGAGTGAAGTCACTAGGTCACATGGCAAATGCATGTTTAACTTTCTGAAAAATTGCTGAACTGTTTTTGAAAGTGGCTGTACCAGTTCTCATTCCTAGCAGCAAGGTATAGGAGTGTTAGTTCTGAATTTTCTCCAGTGTTTGGTATTGCAGCTCTTTTTTCTTTTCATTGCTAACTTAATTTACCTTTAGTTATTCTGATAGAGTATAGTAGTATCTCACTGTTTTTTAAATTTGCATTTCCCCGATGCCTAATGAGGTTGAACATCTTTCCATGCTTATTGGTCATCTTTGTATCTTCTTTGGTGAACCATTGATTCAGATTTTTCACTCTTTGAAAAGATATTTTGTTAGGGGCCGGGAATTTAGCTCAGTGGTTCCGCCAACTGTCTTGCAAGTGCAAAGTCCTGAGTTTAATCCCCAGTACCAAAAATAAAAAAGATAGTTTGTTTACTAATTATTGCATTTTGAGAGTTCTTTATGAATTCTGGGTATAACTCATACCAGATGTTATTTGGAAATAATTTTTCCCATACTGTGGCTTGTTTCATTATCTTAAGTGTGTCTCTCTCTCTCTTTTTTTTTTTTTTTACCTGAGTTGGGGTCTCACTGTGTTCCTCATGCAAGCCTGAACTCATGATCATCCTACCTCAGTTTCTCCAGTAACTGGGATTACAGAGTCATAACATCACACCACCTTTACAGTGTCTTTTTTTTGTTTTTTAAGGTACTGGGGATCGAACTAGGGTCCTTGTGCTTGCAGGCGGTGAAACCACTGAGCTATATCCCCGGCCCTGTACAGTGTCTTTTTAAGAGTAGATAATTTTAGCCAGGGCTAGCTGCATATGCCTGTAATCCCAGCATGAGGCTGGGTGGGGCAGGAGGATACCCTTGAATTCAAGGCCAGCCTAGGATGCATAGTGAGTTCAAGGGCAGCCTGAACTACATAGTGAAACCTTGTCTCAAAAAACCAACCAACAAAACCAAAAAAAGAGCAGATATTTTTAATTTTGATGAAGTCTAGTTTGTCTTTTTTCCCCTTTGATCATTTGTGGTTTTGGTGTATAGATATCCAAAAATCACTGCCTAATCCAGTGTCATGAAAATTTACTCCTATCTTTTCTTCTAAAAGTTTTATAGATGTACCTCTCACATTTAGATCTCTGATCCATTTTGATTCTTTTTTTTTTTTGGTACTGGGGATCGAACTCGGGACCTTGCGCTTTCGAGGCAGGCGGCGGAACCACTGAGCTAAATCCCCGGCCCTCCTATCCATTTTGAGTTAATTTTTGTATACGGTGTGAAGTAAGGGGTCCAACTTCATTCACTTGCATGCAGATAGCCAGTTAACCCAGCATTATTTGTTGGAAAGACTGTTTTTTCCCCCTTAAGTTGTCTTAAAAATCTTTGTGAAAATTAACTAACTACGGGCTTGAGATGTAGCTCAGGATTAGAGCACTTGCCTAGCATATGGAGAGGCCCTGGATTCAATAAGTGGTACTCCTTCCCTGCTGCCATCAGCTATCCATAAATATAAAGGTTTTATTTCTGGACTCAATTCCATTCCATTGAGCTATATCTGTATTCCTATGCTAGTATCGCACTGACATAATTACTGTGGCTTTAGAGTAAGTCTTAAAATTGAGCAATGTCTTTCATTTCCATCCATCTTTTTCAGAATTATTGTGGCAATTCTCATTGTTTCTACTGCAATTGTTTCATCTATAGATCAGTTTGGGGAAATTTGACATCTGAAACAATATTAACAAATACCATGTGTTTTTTAACACATGGTATGTATCTCTCCATTTTTATTTAGGTCTTTTAAATGTTCTTTTGTCAGTGTTCTCTAGCATTTAGTGAACAGGTCTTGTACATGTTTCATTTGATTTATACTTTACATCCAGTTTTGTGCATTTTTGGTGCTCTTTAAATGCTACCTTGAAATTTTTCACTTCTGCTTGTTCATTGCTTATGTATAGAAATACAGATGCTTCTTTCTGTGCAAAACCAAATGTACAGAAATACAATTGCTTATATCCTATGACTTTTCTAAACTGGCATATTAATTCTGGCAGTACTTGTTTTGTAGATTCTTTGGGTTTTCCCACATAAACAATCAGGTTATCTCTAAATAGTGAGTTTTTCTTTTATAGTTTTTATGTGTTTTCTTTTTTTCTTTTATCTTTCTACAATGTTAAATAGGAGTAATGAGAGGGAAAACAGCCTTGTTTGCTTTGTTCTCTGTTCTAGGGGAAAACAGTCTTCATTAAATATGATGTTAGCTGTAGTTACTTTTTTTTTAGCTGTAGTTTTTTGTGTGTCATTGATCAGATTAAGAGACTTTCCTTCCATTCTTTTTTTTTTTTGATACCAGGGATCAAACTTGGGCCCTTGCGCTTTCGAGGCAGGTGGCGGAACCACTAAGCTAAATCCCCAGCCCTCCTTCCATTCTTAATTTGGTGAATTTTTTAAAAATCATGGGTATGTGTTGCATTGTCAAAAAATTTTCGTAACTATTGAAATACCATATAGTTTTTCTATTTTAGTCTATTAATATGGAGAAAGTGATTGAATATTTGAAATGGAACCAGCCTTCATTTCTGGGATAAACCTTTCAACCATGTTGTGGTATTATGATGTCCTTTCCTATCTGAGGTAGCTCCTTGTTTTCTTCTTTCCAGCTTCTCCTGTCTCACTCCTATTTTTATCATCTGGCACCTTCCCCTTTCCTTTCAGCTCTCCCCTAACTAGAATACCCTCCAGCCTTCACATCCTGATCTCTCGCCTTTCCCCTTGCTTAGCAGTACCCAGGGACTTCCCAGCGGCCTGTTCTGAGGGTGAATTCCAAGTTCCTGTACAGCAGGGGTCTTCTTACCTTGTCATAAATAGGTTTTCTTGCACCATATGTTTACATACAGTGATGGTGATGGGATTCCGGAGTGGAGGGTTGAGGTGGGAGGTGGTGGGACCCACAGGTCAGCAGGAGCAGCCAGCAGAGATGTGGAGCTGACTATCTGTGCAGCTTGCTCCTTTCACACAGGCACATCAGGAGACATGTGGGGCTCAGAGTACTCTTCAGCCAGGAGAGAGCCAGACTTTGAAGTGAGAGAAAGTCTCTTTCTCTTTGCACCCAGGACAAGCTCACACTAGGACATATCTAGGGAAAGATGGTATCACAGCTGGCGTGGCACTCCCATGGCCTCCAGGCCTGGGCTGGCGAAGGACCCTGCTGAGGGTCAGGACCACCTGCAAGCTGTGGTGAGAAAAGCCTTCAGGCAGTGCAGACCTGAGGTGACGACGGAGCTTAGGTTCCAGAGACAAAGATGTTCTTAGAAACAGCTTAGGAAACATTTTTTGGGCCATTGCTGAGTACTAAAGTCCTAGAAGATAGCTCTTTGGAATCCAGACCAGTATCTTCCTTACCCCAGTGCTAAGGGAGAACCCAGGCTCATAGTTTCAGGGGATTCAGTCCATGGTCAGCTGGCTCTAAGGCAGAAACGTCACGGAAGAGGGCATGGTGGGGCAAAGCTGCTTAGTTCATAGTGTCTGGGAAGCAGGGGAATAGTGCCAGAGCCAGAGCTATATACTCTCCAAAGCCATACCTTCAGTGATTCACCTCCTGCAAAGAGGTCCCACCTCCTAACAGCACATTCATCTATAAACTCATCAATGGATTAATCTATCCATGAGTATAGTGCTCCTGTGATCCAGTCATCTTCCAAAAGCCCCACCTCTGAACACATGAGACTTCTGGGGGAAATTTTAGATTTAAAGCATCACAAGCTGGGTGTAAGGGATCCTTGGCATTTGTTTGCTGGTGGCTAGGTGTGTGTTTGCTAAGATGTGGGCTGGGAGCTCCATGGTTTGGGGTTGGGGGGATCAGGATCAAGCCTCTGGTGACCAGGACCTGCTCCAGGCCTCAGCTCAGTGTCCTTGTCTCTCTCTCTCTGCAGCTTGTTTCCAATGTCCTCATTTTCTCCTGCACCAACATTGTGGGTGTCTGCACCCACTACCCAGCTGAGGTGTCCCAGAGACAGGCCTTCCAGGAGACCCGGGAGTGCATCCAGGCACGGCTCCACTCGCAGCGGGAGAACCAGCAGCAGGTGAGTGAGGGCCTCCTGGCCCAGTAGCCTAAGGACAGTGAGGCCCAGCCGCCCCCCCCCCCCCCCCCCAGGGCTGGGCTTATCACAGCTGCCCAGCCCACCTCTGGGGTAGATGAGTGCTTTCCCTGAGGATGCCCAGGGTTCGATCCTCAGCCCTACCTGCCCTCACCCATGACCCCCTCATTCAGCTCTGTGGTTTTTGCAGAAGCCAAGCTGCAGGATGGTGCATCCTCCCTACCAGGCCCCCCACGACTCAGAGAGGTGAAAGCAGTCAGCATTTCCACTCTGGATTAAGGTGCTTCTCTCGGGGAGACAAGAGAAGAGAGGGGACAGGTGCTGTCAGCCCCGAGGCACCCCACACCTGGTTCTTCCTCTCTGTTCATTTTTGGGTGAGGTTGGTTCAGAAAAGGAAGATAGTTCTGTCTCTCCCCAGACTGTCCTGGGGCAGGAAGGCTGGCCATTCACAGGCCCATGGACTCGGATCAGGCTGTTCCCACCCTGGGGAGTGGGTCTTGCTGGCACTCAGGTCTGGGTCACCACTGTCCCCTCTCCTGTGTGTGGACCAGGTAGAGGTCTGGTAACAAGATAGTATGGAGCTATGAAGCTCCCAGACAGGAGGTTGGGGCAGGCAGCAAGCCAAAGAGTGACAGTGGCATTCAGCAGGGCTGTGGGTCTCCCACTGCATGCGGGCCAAGTAGGACTGTCATGAGCTGAGGTCTGGCAGACAGGTCCTCCCTCAAAACCCTTAGCTATATGTGTGCCAGGCCCCAGGGCAGTCACCTTTGAGCATGGGGACAGGAGATGATGGTCCAAACAGCAGTGGAGCACATGCCGTGGCCAGTCTGGTGCAGTGCGACCCCACTGCACTGTTAGCGTCTCTGGCTCTGGATGTGTGCTAGGTGGTTACAGTGGCCAGTGACATCCAGACTGCCACCTGAGGGGGTGCAGCTCCAAAGTGTCTCCAGGTCCTATTCAGTCCTGCATGTCCCCACTTCCCTTTGAGCACTGCCTCAGTGGCCATGTGTCTTGCCAGGTGTCCCACTTAGACTAGTCTGAGGCTTGACTGTCCCCATTCACTCTGGCCCTGTCTGGACTCCTGGCACAGTCTCTTGAAGGAAGCCTGGCTCAGCAGTGTCCTGGAGTCTTCCCGCTGTCCTTTGTCAGCAAGCTCACCTCACCTCTGGTACACAGCGCTCTGCCTACCCCCAAGCCTGGCACTCCTTAAGACCCCATCTCTTCTCTGTCCAGGCCCAGTGCCTCTGCCTGGGACTGGGCACCTTCCTTCCTCTTCATGGGAGGACCACCCCCTCTGACTTCTGGGCCTCACCCCTTGTCCAGGACAATGATTATTTTCCAGCTCATTGTAGCTTACTTGCTCTGGCCCTGGCCAGGCTGTACATGCCACCAAATCCACAGGGATTTGGCGCAGAAGCTTTTTGTCAAACCATGTTCAGGGCCAAGGCACAGGTGGAGTAGGGTGGTGGGTCAGGTTGATTTCTGAGGCAGACCCTGCTCCTTGGCAAACTGGAGGAAAGAGCTCAGACATCGGGGCAGCTCTTAGGTGCCTCATGTAAGGGGATTTAGAATTGTGGCCCTGTCTGCCCCTGTTACCTAGCCCTCAGCCCCAGATGTGGTTACAAAAAAGGAATGTTTCTTGTGAATCTAGTTTGTAGCACACTTTCTCCCAGTTGTCGTCTGTCACAGAATTGTCCTTTAGTTCCTGCTCTCACTGGTAGCTGAGTCCGGTAAATGTCAGGTGGCTTTCAATGGTTATGTGTGTTGATGCCTGGGGATACCAGACAGACTGAGGAGAGCTGCATCTTTCACTGATTTACCAGTTTCCCAAGCATAAGGCCCTGTGCATGGCACTGGAGAAGACACAGCTCCTGTCCCCAAGGAAGCCTCTGCTTGCACTCACCAGAGGGAGGCACCCTTAACCACCCTGATGTACTGGGTAATCAGGGCCTCTGTAAGTCTCCCTTGGGCTGGTTTGTACTTCTCTGGGTCCTTCACTGTCAGCTTACTCCTCCCTTGCTTGGGCCCCGGTCCCCTGTGGAGTTGAACTCCCTCATCCCTGGTGTCCAAAAGCCATCTCTGCTCACACCACTTCCCCCCAGCCTCAGTCATGGCATCTCTGCTCAGTGACCCCAAGTGATGGGATGCTTTGAGACTCTCCGCGCCCAGAATGATGCCTGGAACATGCAGATGCACAATAAATATTTGATGACTGGGACTGAATGAATCTCATTTATTGCTGTCAACATTAAACGTTTTGGCTCAGAGTTCAGTGGCTTCCCCAAGGTCACACAGCACCTCAGGTTCTAACCCACGGTGCTCTGCTCAACACCTGTAAGTTCACCGGGAGTATCCTCAGTGCAGCATGATGGCAAGCCAGGGGAAGGACCAGAGTGTGTCCCAAGGGGATGGGAGCCCCAGGGCACGACTCCAGCTATACACAGAGGTGCTAGCCTTGCAAGTCTCAGAACCCAAGAGATCTTCCAGGGCCCTGCCTGCAGGGGCACAAGTGTGGACAGGAGGGAACTCATCAGGAAGTAGAAGGAGTGGTTATGAAGCCAGCCCTTTGTCCTCAGGAGCGGCTTTTGCTGTCAGTCCTTCCCCGTCATGTTGCCATGGAGATGAAAGCAGACATCAATGCCAAGCAGGAGGATATGATGTTCCACAAGATTTACATCCAGAAGCATGACAACGTGAGGTAAGAGTAAGGCTGGGAGAGGGGTCAGCTGGCAGGATGGGGAGACTGGATGGCAGAGGAGACACCCCGCTTCTTTCCTTTAAGGGGACACAGCCCAGCAGGGTGGCTGGGGGTTCTGGAGGTTGTGTTCGCAACAGGCCAGCCCTGCCCCTCAAGGCTGGAGTGAATTAGCATTGTGCACAGTTAACTTTCTTTGGAAGCTGAAGGGGGCAGCAAGGATATAGGACAGGATAGAGGAAGAAGGGCAGAAAAAAACAACACCAGTTGTTAGGAGAACCCAAGCCTGAAAAGGGAGCCAAAAAGCTTTGGCTTGGGATTGCAGTCTCCATTGGCACCTGGCAGCTTGCTTGCCTTCCTTATAAGCCCATGCATACCAGGCTCAGCAAAGGCATTACCACCTTGCCACTGATCTCCCCACATCCCTGCAGGGTGGGGACAAATGGCACTTAGGGTGTGTGGATCAAGCTCAGTATGGCTGAGAACCTTGGCCAGGCCTCCTGCCAGTAGTGGTAAAGCCAGGGTGCCCTGCTTCAAAACCCACACCCCCTCACTGTGTCTTTGCTGCCTCTCTAGACAGAAGTTGCTGACAGCAGGGACATGCAAACAGATGTAGATTAATAGGGTGCAAAATCTGCTTATGAGTTCCACAGGGACATGGAGTGTGATCAAGTGGCCTTTATCCAACATGGCTCCCAGAGAGTCCAGCAACCCTCTTGGACCCAAAAGCAGCCACTGTGGGTGCTTTGAGAGTGTTACTTTCTCCCTGGGCGCTTCTGCCTTAGAGCTGAGTCCTCTGAGGTCAACCGTCGGGGCTTGGGCTGCATTTCCAATAAAGGGAGTCAGCAGGTGGTGTAGATTGTTATGCACACACTCGAGTGCACACGGAGTCAAGGTGAGATTTATGGCAGCAGCAGGTGAGGGCAGCACTACTACTGTTTCTGATACTCAGGTCCCACAAATATAAGAGATTGGCACTGTTATCATCCCTATCTTACAGTGAGAAAACTGAGTCATGGAGTTTTGTTTTTTTTTTGGTACCGGGGATAGAACTCGGGTCCTTTGGCTTGCTTGGTAGGCAGGCAGTGGAACCACTGAGCTAAATCCCTGTCCCAGAGTCATGGAGTTTTATAACTTGTCCATGATCCCATAGCTAGTGAAGTAGGAAAACTGCCCCCAGAAAGCATTTTGACTTCAGAATTTTTATCCAGCCTGACTCCTGGCAGATGGAGTTTTACACTAGGAGAAAGAGTTTGGATACAGACTCCAGGAAGGTGGTTTGGGGAACCCTCAGGCCAGCTTCCAGGGTATATGTGTGTCCATGTGACTCAGGAGCCACCAGGGTTCCCTAAAGTCTGGGGTCTCTACCCTGGGACATACAAAGAGACAGCCTTCCTTACTAGGACAAATCCTAGAAGCTCAGGTTCCAGATGGGAAGGGGTGGCTGTAAAGCAGCCCTGACATATGTGCACCGAGCTCCTGACCACCCCTTTCTGGAATTTTCTGTCTTGGTCCTGTCTGCATCAGCCCCTGGCCCTGGCATTGTCCCCTGCAGAGTGTGGACAGAGACACACACTTGATTGTTCTTAGCTCTGCAGAGCCTTTTGCAACATTCACACAAACACGCCCCAAGGAGATCCAGGGAACTTGCTGCTCAGAAACAGCCTGGCACTGAGGGCATAGGTTCTCAGCCTGCCTTACACTTGTTGTCCAGTCCCTGCCCTCCTGACATGTTCCCTTTCCCACAGGGCAGGCATCATCCTGCTTCCTGTCTCAGGCTGCCCCATACTCCAGCAAGGAGTTTGGCCTGAGAGTTTGCTAACTTAGGCCTCTGTCACAGTGATTCCTCAAGGCATGGAACATCTCAGGTGATGTTCCTTCCTTACCCTCTCTGCAGAGGCAGTGACTTGGGGTCAATCACAGGACAGTCCTCTAATCAGAGTGGCCTGAGCCTGAGCCTCAGGTCCCTGCCACAGGGGGAATTTCTGTCTCTGACATATCAGGATCAATGACAGCAATCAGGAGAGAAATGAAAGAAGAGACAAACTTAAAGAGTGCACAGTGTTCATGGAGAAAAGGGGCTGGCGCACGTCAGAAGCCAGCCACCAGCAATCATATGCAAATTTCCCGCCAGTGCTGCTTTCTCAGGGCCATTAGCCCAGCATGCAGCCTTGGGTGAAGACACAGCTCTTGCTATGTCTCTGAGGTGGGATTGGATTTTGGCTTGGGCCAAGGGTTGAGTAGTAATGGGGTAACATTTACTTTCAAGACAATCGATGGGGACTAGAGATGTAGCTCAGTGGTAGAGCACCTGGCTGGCATGTGTGAGGCCCTGAGTTTGCCCCCCACCCCTGCACTCCCCCCACACACGTGCACGCGCACACACACACACACACACACACACACACACACAGACACTCTTTGTGGAGCCAGTGGGTACAGAGTTTAGGCATCCTTGCACATCATCCTAACTCTGCTGTGTCCTGATGGTGTGACCAGAGCAAGTTACAGCAGCCAGGGAGCTGCTCTGAACCTCTATTTCCTCCTCTGCAGAACAGCACAGCAAGAGTACCTTCTTGGTAAGGTTGTAAAGAATGAATGGAATAATATGAGAAAATGCATGGCATAGTATTTGGCACATAGATGTTCAATAACTGGGTGGTGCGGTGGTTGTCATTACTGTTATTTCCATGATTGCTATCACACTACCCAACAGAAAGGCCTGGGAGCCTCTCTCTGGGATTGGAAGGGTGGTGAGTCATGTTCATCAAAGCTGCTTGGGGTTGTAATATTACAGAGGGTGATGACATGCTCTTCTCCAGTCCCTCAGGAGCAAGGCCATGAGAACAATAATTCAACTCCACGGTGATGGATAGGGCCGGATCTAACCACTGATAGGGTGCTAGGGAGAAGAGTGTGACCTGGGCAGCAACAGAGTACACAGGCCCACTACCCTCTGTGGTTTCACAGCATAGAATTCCTGGCCAAGGAGGCTGTGGGCTGTTTTGATGCTGGGCTGAAGCAGGCCAGAGGCCAGGGAGCCCCTGGAGATCCCATCCCAGAGGCCCCAGAGGTCTCTTGTCTGATATGTGGTGACAGATGGATCATGTTGCTCCCTCTGGCTGAGTGGCTCATTTGTGAACTCCCGCCAGGATATCAGGCCTGTGGTTCTCAAGCCCCTTCCTCCATCTCAAATACCTGCCTCTCTGCAGCTAGCAGTGCAGGGTGGCAGAGGGGTGGGCAGGGTGGCGGGGGTGGTGGTAGTGGTGGTGGGGGGCTATGCCTTCCTCCAGGCCATGCTCCAGGGGCAAAGAGGTCTCTGGGAGCTCTGCCTGGGAGGAAGGAGACTAACCAGCCTCAGAGGAGCTGTAGGAAGGGCCCTCCAGAGAAGGCACCACATCACGGAGCTCAGGTAGAGGTGGACACAGACAGACATTGGTGCTGCCTAGCCAGCCTTGCCAAGCAGTCACATTATGGCGTGGAGCAAAATGAGTGTCAGCATTGAATACTCTAGTACACACCCCAGGTCTCCCACCTTGGAGCTCTGGGAGATTGGACAGGTCACCTGGCCTGAGTCTCATTTTGCCACCTCTAACCTGGAGATAGATGCATCCTTCCACTTGACTGTTACCTCTGCCCTACTGGGTAAGGACCGCAGGGCCACGACGTAAGGGACACACACCCCCTCAGACAAGGGGAAACGCCCCTCTATTACAGAAGATCCACTAAACAAGTGTCAAGTTGCCAAGTTGTCACAGGCCTGCCTTGTTCAAGGCCCTCTTCATGGGTGGTGACCCGGGGCGGGGGCATGGACTTTGCAGGGTACAGATGTTAAACAACCAAGGGCTCAGTCACTGTCACAATAGTGAGAAAAGGTCCATGAGGAGAGTGTAAGAGGGGCCCAACCTGGCTGTCATGGGGTTGCTGGGAGGGGATGGGAGGCAGGGTGACTGTCAGCCAGAGAGAAGGTCAGGTGAAGGGACAGGGAAAGCCAAGGCTTTGCTAGAGGCTTCTGAGTGAGTGGAACTCCACACCTGACCTAGCTGGAGTCTGGTGGGTTTTAAATGTTGTAGATGGCATGGGATGGGCAAGAGATCATTCCAGACTCCGCTTTGCAGGAAAGGAGAGAAGACTCCCTGGTCCAAGAGTCACTGTTCCTGTCAAAGAAACCGTCCTCACAGGGCTCCACCTGTTCCCACTGTCCACCCCTCTGTCTCTGGGTTCAGGATGGAGTGGGGTGGTGTCATAGTCTTGGTTCATCAGCTGGAATCAAAGCTTCATTCTCAGGCACCCAGAAGCCCGGGGGGCTATAGGTGGGGTCCTGGCAGAGTGGCTGCCGAGCTTGGCCTGGGGTGAGGTAACCAGCCCCCTTACACACACACACACACACACACACACGGAGATGTGCAGGGTCCTGGAAGTGGGGTGCCTGCCCTGCTCCCTTTCTCCTCTGATCTTTCTCTCCCTAACACCTCCCCCCTTTGAGGTTATTATCTCCTCTCTTGTCTCTTTCAAGGACTTGGCTGCATTCCCCAGGTTGCTTTGGTGTCTGGCTCAACTGTGGTGCGGTCCTGAATTATAATGACCACATGACAGTGTCTGAGATGCTCAGATACCCAAGGGGGATTGTTCTCCCCTGTGGGCGGAGGGTGGAAAGTACTCGGGTCATGTCCTCATCCATCTGACTCAGGATGAGCAGAGTGGCTGGAAACACCTGCACTCCTGTCTCAGACACGGTGTTGTAGAGTGGGCCAAGCTCCACTCCCAGAGCAGTTAGAACGCGTGTTTTCTTTATGTTATTATTTTATCCACCCCACAAATATGTACTGAGCTGCTGCAGTATGCCAGGCCGTGACTATGAAAAAGACATGGTCCCTGCTTCTTAGGGAAGGAGTACCCAGGGCCGAAGTGAGACTGGGGCTATTGGAGTGCTATGGGTCCCCCTGGGGGGTGGAGCCCTTTAAAACTACTTAATTATTATTTATTTATTTTAGTTGTGGTAA